ATACAACCTATACGACCCATCCACAAGAAACGGGCGGTGGACGAAATTTTCACCAGCTGCCAGTAAAATGCTCCCCGACAAAATCAAACCCAGAACTCGAACGGACGAAAGTTCACTCCCACCCTAGAAACAACATCCTCGAAACAGTTCTGATCGATTCAGATCTACGCAACCTCGAAGACATCACCCAAGCCTATCGTATCGCAGATTGTGATGTCTCCTACCATCACCCAATTACACATGTTCAAGCCTATCAAGCTCACGATCCTTGGCAGATGTGATACCTTCCACAAGGTACCACCAATGGCCAATGTACCACCAGTGAAAACCATCAAATGTCCCCCCACTTCATATGTGTCATACCTCGGAAATGGTGCACGATCCAGATAAACTTCGCATCGGCAGTTCAACCACCGGATGGAAACTAACGATTTAAAATTGGCTCACTACTTGACTAGCCTATTGGTCCCAAGTAAATTGATTAACGTACCCCATTTTAGTTAAAATTCTGGTACTACACTATGTTTGTTTTGGTTCTCTATGAAAGTTTGACACATAAAATGAGGGGCTCGTGGATTTTCCTATGTTTCCAGGGGTGTATCAATTAGCTTGGGACCGAAGATAGTATCAACCGGTGGAAACTAACGATTTAAATTGGCTCACTACTTGACTAGCCATTCGTCCCAATCAAATCGATTAACGTACCCCATTATTGTCGAAATTCCAGTTTGTTTTGATTCGCTATGAAAGTTTTACAGATAAAATGAGGGGTTTGTGGATTTTCCTATATTTCGAGGGGTGCATCGATTAGCTTGGGACCGAAGAGTGTACCAGAGCTGGGCCAAAAAGTTGAGCACATTTCTTCGGAACCTTCTGGTCTTAGAGCTACCTCTATGGTTCAACTGTACCCTGTGGTTGTTGTTGTTCATCTGCACGCCCGTGGGATCTTGTCGAACAGCAAATTACTTAGTGTCGTCAAGCGTCATACACTTTCAAGATTGAGCAAGGCCTTATAAATGATTGACCGGATTTTTTTTTAGACGAACTAGTGCAACAGAAAAGTGGAGATTGGATCGATGGTGATGGGGTGTATTCACGGAATAGAATGTAATTACATTTTTGATTGCATTGATCTGTTCCTATTAATGGAATATTTGGGGTTAATACGTATCGGCATCCCCCAATAAGTACTGAGACTTGTATGGACATCCCTATAAAGTCCTGTGGATTTCCCATCGAAGTCCATACCAATTGAAACCAATGACTGGCAAGGATACCTAAGGAACAACGTAGGAGAAAATGATAAAATTTTCATCCCGGAAGACCTTTGGCAAGACCGGGATTCAAACCTGGCCGAAATACAAAACCCATCACACACACCCCCTATGACGTGGTTTTTTTTTCTTTATCGTTCATTCTACATAACAACCTTGTAAAACATAACAAAATCCTCCATCGTTCAGAGGATTTTTGTCCATTTAGTTCGCCGATCGCATTCCACACCGTACCGTCGTATTGGACGATCTTACAGGCATTTGACCAACCGTTGCTGGAGGAAACCCATTTTGACCATCTTGAAAGTCGTATCAACCCTCTCGACCGACCATGGTGTGGAAGAACGCTGTTGGCGTGAAGCTATTCTGGACGAAACCAAGAGCCGCTGGGATTTTCGCTACGAATCGGATGAGATAAACTTAGTTTTATGGTGCAGACAGGTGCAGACAAAACTCACAGCATTTTTCCTTGGGATCCGAACCCAATGTGAAGCCCATTGGAGTAAACAAAGAAGTCAACCTTAGCAACGATTGTCAACTTTCGACAGTGATGCCGTTTTACATTATGTTGAATGTATCCTACTTGTCAACGTTTGCCCTGAAGAGCCAAATAGTGTGCCGTGCTGTGTTTCGGCGCAGTGTGCAGAGTTGATTACCCCTTGTCCGAAAGTCATTATTTCATCTACAACTTTGTCTTAGACGTTAGTCATTTTGATCAGAGATGCCTTTTCCATGCTAAATTTTTTTGAAAAATTTCAAGGGCATAACTTTTTTTGTATGGAAAATACGGTTCGAACGAAAACGCGCATTTCAGAAGACATGGTGATAGCCGCAACACGCAAACTATGAAGCTCTCGTTCGCCGCCGGACCTGACGGCATTCCGTCATCAGTTCTAAAACTTTTTGTAGCCAATCTCTGCCTTCAACTTGCGAGGCTATTCAATCTCTCGGCACAGCAATGTGAGTTCCCCTGCCGCTGGAAACTTTTTTATTTGTTCCCAGTGTACAAAAAAGGAGATAAACGGAATGCCGCAAATGATCGTGGAATCACCTCCCTGTGTGCCTGCTCAAAACTGGTCGAGATTATCATAAATGGTGCTCTGTTCTGTTCTGATAAGTGCACGCTGCAAAAATTATATCGATACAGAACAACACGGTTTCTACCCGAAGTGCTCCGTGTCCACGAACCTGGTGCAGTTCACTTCAAACTGTATGCGATGCATGGATTCAGGATGGCAAGTCGATACTGCGTATATGGATCTAAAAGCTCCATTTGACACGGTGGACCATAATATCTTGCTGGCCAAGCTGGTGATACTTGGCATTGTGTGGGTATAGTCAACATACCTGCTCGCCACTCTATAACGTGAACCCTCTGTATCGACTTGGCACCATTCAACAGAGATGGTTTGGACGCAAGCTATCATTCGAGTGTGAAAGTGTTGAGCAGGTAAGACGTGTATCCGAGTGTACCATTGTTATCCTGCAATGGGTGATTTCCCGGTAGAGTTTAGCTCTTCACAGGCATCTCGTCAACTGCTGTGGATTGGTTCAGATATTACTTGGTGAATCGCTATGTACATGTCAAGATTGGCGCGTCGGAATCGGATGTTTTCTCAAACAACTCGGGAGTCCCGCAACGCAGTAACCTAGGACCGCTACTATTTTCGATCTTTTTAAACGACGTCGCCTTGCTGATACCATCAGGATGCCGCGTTTTCTATGCAGACGATACGAAAATCTACAAAATTATTAAAAGCCTCTCGGACTGCTGGGATCTCCAGAATATGTTAGATATTTTTGCTGACTGGTGCTCAAGAAATTTGATGAGTCTAAGCATAGAAAAATGTAAAATTATTTCCTATCACCGAAAAATCGAACCAATCATGTTCTCTACGGACACTGTCTTGCTCGTGTAGAACACATAAAGGATCTCGGCGTTACCTTGGACTGCAGACTCACTTTCAGAATCGACTACAATGACATCATCTCCAGAGCTAATCGACAATTGGGGTTTATTTTCAAAATTGCCGACGAGTTTCGTGACCCGCTATGCCTCAGGTCACTTTACTGCTCGCTTCTGCGATCCTTATTGGAGTCAAGTTCAGTTGTTTGGTGCCCTTTCCATGCTAGCTGGATCACTAGAATTGAATCCGTTCAACGCAAGTTTGTGAGATATGCTCTTCGTTTCCTCAACTGGCGTGACCCAACGAACTTTTTTCAATAAACAACAACAACTTGCCACCGTACGAGGAGCGTTGCCGTCTCCTGGGAATCGAGCCATTAGCGGTGAGACGGACGGTTGCTCAAGCTATGTTGGCTGGAAAGCTGCTTACGGGTGTCATTGACTGTCCAACACAGCTGTCACAGCTAAATATGTATGCCCCTGAGATGTCTCTTCGTCAACGCGACTTTCTGTTTTTGGAACCACGGAGCCGGAATTATACACAACACGAGCAAATTCGGGCAATCAGCCGGCAATTCAACAACTTTTTTTATATGTTCTACTTCAATGTATCAGCTGACGTATTTCGTCATCGGCTACTTGGCCTTTTCCGTACCGTTGACCGTAACTATTTAGTTTAAGTTTTATTCATTTAGACAAATTGTCAGTTGAATTTTTCAATAAACAATAAACAACAATAAACTATGAAATGTTTTTTCAATGCTGCTTTCACTTTCTTTGAAGTATTATCACTTCATTCGAAATTTCCCCGTCTATTTTGAAACCTGACTAGGCTTTTGCTCTTGTCATTTTCAAGAAGTTGTTTGTGAAGGCAAAATGTTGTCTTGTAAAAAACCTCACGCCCACCAAAATATACTTTAATTTTCAAATAAATATATTTTCAAAAGACTTCAAAATGTATTGAAAAACAAAATGTCTTCACAGAAATTCAAATGTAAGTTTAAACTGAAGACATGTCTTCAAATCTGGCATCCCTGACGTGATAGTAAATTCGTTCCACTAAAGTATACATTACGGCTGATGTTCTTGCAGAGTTGAATATTGAAAGTTAACGCCTGAAAAGTATGCTTCCCACATCACTTTTTACAATGTGAATTAGGCTCCAAGTAAACGATGTTTTCTACAAAATCAATCCTGCTGATGAGCTTGGGAGCTGAAAAATGTTAGACTCATATTTTGCTAATAATTAATAATTCATGCATACATTGACTGAATATGTCCTCTTTTCTTTCTGAAGACGCATTCGGAACTTCAATCACAATTTAAATTGGCATGAAGGATCACACCTTAGCACGATGAACTGTCCACAATTATTCGAGTCGTTATCGAGTGATAAAACCATATCAAAAGATAGATTTGATAGGTATCCTTCAACCGCATATTTCTATAAGTCGATTATTTCTTCAATCTCGAGTTTTGTGAAGTTGGCTGTATTCTTTGGTTATGAATCATATTTTTTTTTTCAAAATTTCACGATATAGTGGTAATGTCCCCTAAGTTTCCACAACATTGGGCCCCTACATAAATTCCGAAAGAAATCAATTTTTGACAATGTTTCACAAGCAACCACAAATATTTAAAAAAAAAAATGAGTAATAGGAGATTTTTATCGATGGGCCCATTCCCTAGGCACGTAAATTTTGAATTTAAAATGTTTAAAACATCTAAATTTGGTTCTCTCTGTCTTGTTCGTTAGCCTCTGGAATTTCTTTCCCAAATGAGCAACATCCGATGGCTTAATAAACACTCGTATAATAATAATAATAAGTAGTTACAATGTATATATCACGTCAAGCCACTCCCCGAAGCAGAAAATTTAACCCACCTACGACTCAACAAAATTAGCAACATTCGGTACGCTCTTGGCCAGCGTATTAATATAATCGAACGTCTGTAGCATCAGCTTATCATCCGTTCGGTACAGAGACTCAAAGCCCCGATTCAGCACGCAAACATAAGGAACGTGGCAGTCGACCAAGAACTTGGCAAAGAGCAGTGCATTCTCGTGCGATGTACTTACGATTACGACGACCTTTCGCCGGAGATAGCGCTCTAGTTTCGGCACATTGAGCGCATTCAAGCGCGGTTCCTTCAACGAAACCGAACTGAACGGAATGTTGACGCTGTTCTCGATGGCCACCTTCTTGTGTTCGAGATTGCTTCGCAGGTCCAGAACACACGCACTGGCCGGCCGGTCCCGCAGCAGCCGGATCAGATCGTACTTGCTGATTCGGGGGTAGAGTTCCGCCTGGACCTCACCGTGGTCTTCGACCGAGTACTTCAGGTCCTGTGGAAGAGCCAATATTTTCGATTAAAGAAATCAAACTTGCAATCAGTCCGTTAATGGTCTTACAAAATCGCTCGGATCCTCCTCGTGCAGGGCGTACTTCCGGTAGGTGATGCTCTTTGGCGTGAATTGGTACATCGATTCGGAATCGTTCACGCAGGTCTCCATCACGATGTCCGGCAGGTCACTGAACAGCAGAATGCACTCATTGAAGCCCGACTTGAGTAGGGTGTTCTTCAGCTGTTTCAGGATGGCAATGCCGATGAACAGCGGGTACGAGTTGTCCCCCAGGATCAGCTTGTCCCATAGGTGGAATATTTTATGCAGCGGAAATACGTCTGAAATTAGATTGGAAGCGAATAAATAGGAAAAGCCTCCAGCCCAAGGCCATACACTTACGACTGAACATGGTCAGGAACCACGGAATGGCGTACAGCTCCGGAATAAAGTTGATGCCATGCAGGTGCTTCGCCAGCTTCGGTTCGTGGAAAAAGATCAACTGGAAAAACTTCACCAAATACTCCTTGATGATCGACGAGTTATCCTTCAGGAAAAATAGATGCAGATACTTCGGAATGAACTTATACAGACTGAGGAAGGCCCGTTCTTCGTTGTTGAAATTCAAATAGAGAAACGGCGCCGTCAGGGAATCCAGCCCCTGCCAGTAGACATACTGCGGATGAGCCGTGACCCAGGCTTTCAGCAGCCTCTTCAGCTTGGCATGCCCCTCCGGTGACGAGAGCAGTTCGTTGTACTGATGACACCGTGGAATGTCCACCTCGATTTGCCGATCCGTCAGAGTTGGACTGCACTTGTCCAGTTTTTCGTATAGCCCATTTTCCACCACACCCAGCAGGCAAGCCCAAACGTGGCCACGGAACGGAGGAGGAATATCCTTGCTAGCGAAGCTCTTCAACAAGTCCTGGGTGTACGGGTAGCCGTGCAGCAGGGTCTTGAGAAGCATGATTCGATGGAATTGGTAAACGGTGTCGCGTTCCCGAATAACCAAAGGGAGATCCGTCTTGAAAAAGGGAGATTCCAGATAGGCATTGGTAGTGTAGATCAGCGGGAGATATTCTTCCTCCGGTATTTTGGAGAAGCGCTCCAGCAGGATGTTAAAGTTAAGAAATATGATACGACTGTCATGCAGGAAACTTTGGCTCTTGGGTGGTGAGATTGACTTTCCGTTCAGAAGGATCAAGCTAGAATTAACAGAAAATTAGAACTCAAAAAAGCAACCACCCATTTTAAAATTCTTACTCAGGCAACGACAAAATCGGGGCCTCACTCTTGATGAGCCCTTCCTTCTTCAGTTCCTGATGAACATCCCCACCAGCTAGCTGCCAGAGGTAGTAAATTTCCGCCAGACTGTCGGAGTGCTTCTCCAACAGTGTCATCCCCACCGGATCGGGTGCCGTAAAACATTCCTCCCTCAGAAAATCAAAAGCCTGATCCTCCAGCAATTCCTTCGCCTGAGGACGCCTCGCAACCGAAACCGTCAGACACACCTCGATGATTCGCCGCAGAGCCGCATCCAATCCCTCGTACAGTTCCATCTTCTTATGCTCCCGCGCTATCTTCTCCAGCACATTCCCGGTATTCACCAAACTAAGCACCTTCCTCGTAATATGGGACACCTTCAAGGTGTCCCACAGCTTACACCCCAGAGCCAACTCCGCCAGAATCATCCCAAGCGACCACACGTCACTCTTGATATTCTCCCTCGATCCCAACAGCACTTCCGGCCCAAGGTACTTCACATTACCAATCGGAAACGACACGTACTTGCCCCCGTACGTCATATAATACAACCCATAGTTGTACAGCTTCACACAAAAAGCCCGACTGATCAGAACATTCACCGGCTCCAAGTTCCGACACATCAACCCATTCCCATTTAGATGGCTCAACGCCCTCAGCACCTGGAATCCAATCCTCAGCAACGTCTCCTGCTTATTATTCTCCCCGATAAAAGTCTCCGTCAGCGGACTTCCCGCATACTCCTGGACGATGATCGTCCGCTCGTGCTTCCCCCGGATCACATCCAAATACTCACAAAGATTCTCGTGCTTCAATGCGTCCCCCCTCAGCAGCTGCGACCGGCCATAGATTCCAATCGAATTGGGAGTCAGCGGAAGTCCATTACTTCCACAGCACTCATCGCTCGGATGGGACTTGGCGAAGAACGTCGACACCGAAATCCGGTAGTTCAGCTTGGCCGGAGCCATTCCGCCCAACGAGTTGCCACGGCAGAAAACGCTGCTGCTACGGTTTTGCTCGCGCTGCTGCTCGCCCGGGGATGTCGTAATACGCATCACCAATCGTCCGGGAATGGCGAAAGACGAATTTTACCGCTACAAAAACACACAAACGGAGAAAACACCCCTTTTTCGATAGGGAAACTACTTTTTCGCAATGTTTACAGTTTTCACACTGGCCACTGATAAGAAAATTTCTGACAGCTGTGTGCGAGGGTCGTTGAACCAATTTTCGGCTCCAACAGAGCGCGACGAGATTGTGCATGCGTATCAAAACAGGATTTGGTCAGAAAGGCCATCAGCATGATTAGGTCAACGGCTAGAACTGCACTGACACGATTACTGGCAAACAGAGTGGCCAGATTATTTTTTTCATTATCGGTACCCACATACAGCGGGCTAGTCGCCCACGGCTCGCCCCCGGACCGCTCGGCGGACGGGGCGGACTTGGGCGACTCGAACCTCGCGGCGCCGCTTGGTCCAAATTTGGTCGCCGGCGCGCCGGGGGCGACCATATTTGCAACATTTGGGCGCCTGAGGCGAAAACGATACCTGTCAAAAAACTGATCGTTTCGGCCATTTTGTCCGCCCCCAGGCGCCCCGGCGCGCTTCCGGTTGTTCACCACCATTTTCTTTTTCAATGGGTTTTAAATTAATAAAAATAAAAACTGTTGAAGCATGAACATGACTTCATCAATAATCTTTATTTATCTTATTCTTATAACTAACATATGTTTTTTTTTTTTTATTAAATAGATCTTAACCTAACAATAATATCTTACAAACTAACCCCATCATGTAACACATCAAAATACACAGGAATTCAAAGACTAGTTCAATGGAACTCAAATCTAGTTCCAAGAACCACTTTGGCCACGTCTGGATACATTCCGGGTGTCCCGGGGGAAGAGGCCAACATCTGATTAGGGTCAAACAAATCATGCGACACATCAAAATACATAAGAATTCAATTTCTGGTTCAATGGAACTCAAATCTAGTTCCAAGAACCACTTTGGCCACATCCGGACATATTCCGGGTGTCCCGGGGGAAGAGGCCAACATCTGATTAGGGTCAAACCCATCATGCGACACATCAAAATATATAAGAATTCAATTTCTGGTTTAATAGAACTCAAATCTAGTTCCAAGAACCACTTTGGCCACATCCGGACATATTCCGGGTGTCCCGGGGGAAGAGGCCAACATCTGATTAGGGTCAAACCCACCATGCGACACATCAAATTACATGAAAATTCAAAGACTAGTTCAATGGAACTCAAATTTAGTTCCTAGAACCACTTTGGCCACATCCGGACATATTCCGGGTGTCGCGGGGGAAGAGGTCAACATCTGATTAGGGTCAAACCCATCATGCGACACATCAAATTACATGAGAATTCATAGACTAGTTCAAAGGAACTCAAATTTAGTAACAGGAACCACTTTGGCCTAATCCGGACACATTCCGGGTGTCCCGGTGGAAGAAGCCATCATCTGATTAAGGTCAAACCCATCATGCGACATATCAAATTACATGAGAATTCAATTTCTGTTTCAATGGAACTCAAATTTAGTTCCTAGAACCACTTTGGCCACATCCGAATAGACAAATACCAACAATATGGGTATTTTTGGGATCGGGGTGACGTAAAAAGGTTCCTGAGCCATTTTGAAATCGAAGATGGTCGCTTCCGGTTTCAGAAAATAGGGAAATACTGTCAAATATCTATCAAAATGGGTATTTTTAAAATCGGGGTGATGTCTAGAGGAAATTGATATTCGACGTCATTTTGAAATCAAATATGGCTGCTTCCAGTTTTAGAAAAATAGGGAAATACGTCAAATATCCATCAATATGGATATTTCTGGAATCAGGGTGACGCCGAGGTCGAGGTTTGAAATGAAAGATAGTGGCTTCCGGTATCAGAAAAAGTGCGAAATACTATAAAATGCCCGTCAATATGGGTATTTTTGGAATTGCAGCGAGGTCTAGAGGTCAAAAATCGATATCCGGCTACAATTTAAAATGGCCGCTTCCGATTTATGAAATGTGGGAAATACTGTACAATACCCATCAATATGAGTATTTTTTTAATCAGGGTTATCTCCAGAGACCGAAATCGATAACGAAAGCCATTTTGAAATCCAAGTTTGTGGCTTCCGGTTTAAGAAAAAGTATCAAATACCCATCATGGGTATTTTCACATCCAACACATTAAACATTTTCGAACAAAATTTTGCTATTGTAATGTTGTTTTGACATCAAGAATTTAAATCGTGTGACATTAGAATCAAACGATTTTGGGATGTTTTTATATGTACAAACAAATTTTTTTCTCGGATGTTTTCAATTGTACCTACAGCTTATAGTTCTCTGATGTTTTCAAATGTATGAAACAGTTCTAACGTACTATGTACTAAACGTTGTTCAGATGTTTTCAAATATGGATGCTTTCTAATGTATTCAGTTGTACAAAATATTAGAATCAGTCATTTTTCAGATGCTTTCAATTGTACCCAAATTTTATTGTTTTCTGAAGTTTTCAACTGTGCAAAACATCAGAATCTAACTTTTTCAAATGCTTTCAACCATACAACACATTAGAATTACAAACATGATTTTGTAAACAGTACACACCATTGTTGTTAGATAACGTTATAGAAATGCATACATAATAGTCATTGCTAAAGCTCCCGTTCCCCACCAGTCAGTTAACTGACCTTAGCTAACCTAATATCATTGTAGCAACTCTCTATGCGGCATTGGAACCATGCCATCAGCGCGCTAAGAGTTATTAGACTACTGACATAGGCGCCAATTCGTGGATGACGAGGCACTAGGTGACGTTACAGCGAGCTTGACGATTGTTGTATCATTTTTGAACGAACTACCAGACAATGATGCCTAGTGTTTACATGATCAAGTTTCCAAATTTACAGGGCCACCCACATTAGATCCGGATCTGACGCAATGCGGTAAAGCGGCAGCTAAATATATTGTCTAACTGTAAAATTTACGTCAATGCAACGCAAGAGGATCTAATGAGGGTTACCCTTAAGGTCTGTGGCAGAGTGAAAACTAGGGGTCGCGTAAAATTTTAGTGAAATACCCCAATCATTTATATACTTTATCAAAACACAAATGCTCCGTCCATGTGTCGAACCACAAAGGAAACTCGTCTGTTGGTGGTGATTGATGACTTCCTTGGTTGCTTTGGTGGTGTCATGCCTTCCTTCGAAAAGAAGCACAGCCATGGGTCCTGGCCATTGAGTTGATGAGTCCAGGTGTTCAGTTGCCTCCCTGGCGTTAGTGGTTGCCACTCGGTTGCAGAACATAGACCGATAGAAAATAAACAAGAAAATAAAGCCGAATTGAAGATTTTTCCAAGGATTTTGAAGTAAAAATTAAGATGAGCGGTTGAAAAAGGGGAAATAAGTAAAACACAGCTTTTAAAGTCTAATGAGCTAAGACTAGAGAATGCTAGAGAAACTGTGAAAGACTATCAAAGCAAACTATGTACCTAGATCCAAATCTTTTCAGAAAACTTATCAATACGCATAGTTTGAACCGATGTATAAACATCATGCAGACATTGTTGACTTTGAAATGTCTATGAGCCAGGGCCGAACCCAATGACTCCAGGACAGCGGCATAACGGTACAGCGGTAAATGTACATTTTCAGGAAAGTTCGAATAACTGCTAGAACAGGGTAGTTCTATAAACATCAGAAAATTGCGGGATTTAATTTAATTTAAGTTAATAATTATTCTGAAGACCTACTGCTGAACAGAAATTCAAACGATGTCCTTTTGATATTCTTTGAATAGGCCAAATTGATCAGGTATTATTCTGAGAACCTAAAACTGATCAATAATTCAATTGAAACTTTTCGGATATTACTACAAGAGATCATAATAAGCAGGATTTTTTTCGAAGACCTAGAACTGATCAGAAATTCAAATAAAGTAGTTTCGAAAATATTCGAAGTGGTCAGGTGGATAAGGATTAGATATTAAAATCTTGAGATATTCTTCGAAGAGGTCAGGAATTATTCTGAGGACCAACATCTGATCAAAAATCGAATTGAAGTCGTTTAAAAATTGCTTCAGAACGCAGAATAATCTGAAATTGTTTTGAAGATGTTACACAGAAAAAAAAGTTGTTGAATATTACATCCAAACTGCTGCAACCAGGTCAATCCATCGGTTGTGTAATATAACGTTGTACGATGTACATCGATTTTGCGAACTAAATTACATCCATTGATGTAATATTGTATCTGTTTTTTGCTATTACATCATTATTTCATACTTCAGCTCGAATTACATTGATCGATATTACATTTTTTTTGCTGTGTACTACACCGAAGGTCGTAGATCTTCAGAGAAATTAGCAGAACTTTAGGGAAATTAAAAAAAAAAACTTCATGGAAGTTTAAAAAACTTCAGGGAAGCTTAAAAAACTTCAAGGAAGTTTTAAAAAACTTCAGGTAAGTTAAAAAAAACTTCAGGGAAGTTCAAAAATCTTCAGGTAAGTTCTGAAATCTTTAGATAAATCAAAAGAAAATCAGGGAAGTTCGTAGAACTTCTGAGTAATTTACAGAACTACAGCAATGTTTGTCGTCGTTTAGAGAAATAATCAGTACTTTAGGGATGTTCACAGATCTTCAGGGAAGTTTGAAGATCTTCAGAGAAATTAACAGAACCACAGTGATGTTCGTAAATTTAAGATAATTTTTTAGTTCCTTAGGGAAATTAATAGAACAGAATTTCAGAGAAGTTCGCAGAACTTTAGATAAACTCACAGAACTTCAGGGAATATCACATAAATTTAAAGATCCTCGTACATCTTAAGAGTTATTTTCAGTACTTCAGGGCAGTTCACAGAGCTTTAGGCAAATTGGCAGAACTTCAGGGAAAAATACTGAATTTCAGGGAAGTTTGTTGATCCTCAGAGAAATTTGCAGAACTTAAAGGAGATCTTCAGATAAATTTTTATAGCTTCAGAAAAAATTACAGAAATTCAGGAAGTTTTGTAGACTTTCAGAGAAATTTTTAGTGCTTCAGGGTACTTCGAAGATCTTCAGAGAAATTCTCAGAATTTCTGGGAATACACAGAACTTCAGGGAAATTCGAAGATCGTCAAACTGAACTTTAACTTAACTTAAGCATTAACATAACTTAATTTGAACATAACTTTAACTTAATTTTAACTTAGCTTTCACATAACTTGACCTTGAACATTACTTTAACTTTAGCTTAACTTAAACATAACTTGAGCATAACATAACATAACTTTAACTTATCTTCAATATAGCTTTAAAATACGTTAACTTAACATTAACTTTAGCTTAACTTTAACCTAGCTTTAACTTAACTTTAACTAAGCGTTAACTTAACTATAACTTAACTATAACTTAACTATTACTTAACTTTAACTTAACTTTAACTTAACTTTAACTTAACTTTAACTTAACTTTAACTTAACTTTAACTTAAATTTAACTTAACTTTAACTTAACTTTAACTTAACTTTAACTTAACTTTAACTTAACTTTAACTTAACTTTAACTTAACTTTAACTTAAATTTAACTTAACTTTAACTTAACTTTCATTTAACTTTAACTTAACTTTAACTTAACTTTAACTTAACTTTAACTTAACTTTAACTTAACTTTAACTTAACTTTAACTTAACTTTAACTTAACTTTAACTTAACTTTAACTTAACTTTAACTTAACTTTAACTTAACTTTAACTTAACTTTAACTTAACTTTAACTTAACTTTAACTTAACTTTAACTTAACTTTAACTTAACTTTAACTTAACTTTAACTTAACTTTAACTTAACTTTAACTTAACTTTAACTTAACTTTAACTTAACTTTAACTTAACTTTAACTTAACTTTAACTTAACTTTAACTTAACTTTAACTTAACTTTAACTTAACTTTAACTTAACTTTAACTTAACTTTAATTTAACTTTAACTTAACTTTAACTTAACTTTAACTTAGCTTAACTTTAACTTAACTTTAACTTAACTTTAACTTAACTTTAACTTAACTTTAACTTAACTTTAACTTAACTTTAACTTAACTTTAACTTAACTTTAACTTAACTTTAACTTAACTTTAACTTAACTTTAACTTAACTTTAACTTAACTTTAACTTAACTTTAACTTAACTTTAACTTAACTTTAACTTAACTTTAACTTAACTTTAACTTAACTTTAACTTAACTTTAACTTAACTTTAACTTAACTTTAACTTAACTTTAACTTAACTTTAACTTAACTTTAACTTAACTTTAACTTAACTTTAACTTAACTTTAACTTAACTTTAACTTAACTTTAACTTAACTTTAACTTAACTTTAACTTAACTTTAACTTAACTTAACTTAAACTTAACTTAAACTTAACTTTAACTTAACTTTAACTTAACTTTAACTTAACTTTAACTTAACTTTAACTTAACTTTAACTTAACTTTAACTTAACTTTAACTTAACTTTAACTTAACTTTAACTTAACTTTAACTTAACTTTAAATTAACTTTAACTTAACTTTAACTTAACTTTAACTTAACTTTAATGTAACTTTAACTTAACCTTAACTCAACTTTAACTTAACTTTAACTTAACTTTAACTTCACTTTAACATAACTTTAACTTAACTTAACCTTAACTTTAACTTAACTTTAACATAACATTAATTTAATGTTAACTTAACTTTAACATAACTTTAACCTAACATTAACTTAACTTAGCTTAAGCATTAATATAACTCTCACATAATTTTGACATAACTTTAACTTAATTTTAACTGAGCTTTCACATAGCTTTACCTTGAACATTACTTTAATTATAAAATTATTTTAATTTTAGCTTCACTCTAACGTAACTATAACTTAACTTACACTTAACTTTAACAAAACATTAACTTATTTGTTTACTTAAACATTACTTTAACCTAATTTTAACTTAACTTCAACACAACCTTAAATAAATTTAAACTTAAATTTAACATATCATTAACTTAACTTTAATCTAACATTAACTTAACATATCTTTAACTTAACTTTAATTTTATAATAACTTTAACCTAACTTTAACATAACTTTAAACTAACTTGAACTAAACTTTAATATAACCTTAAATTAATTTTAACTAAAATTTACCATAAATTTAACCTAAGATTAACTTAACTGTAATTAACTTTAAATTATATCTAAAATTTAAAATAACTTTAACATTAACATAGCTTGAACTTAACTGTAACCTAACATTAATTAAATAGATCTTTAACTTAACTTTAACTTTATAATAACTTTAACTTAACTTGAACTAAACTTTAACACAACCTCAAATTAATTTTAACTCAAACTTAACATAACTTTAACCTAACATTAACTTAACTTTAAATTTTATCTTAAATTTAAAATAACTTTAACATTAACATAACTTGAACTTAACTATAACCTAATATTAACTTAACTTATCTTTAACATAACTTTAACATAACCTTAACGTAATTTTAACTTAAATTCAACATAACTGTATCCTAACATTAACTGAACTTCAACTTAACTTAGCAGAAACATAACTCTAATTTAATTTTGACATAACTTTAACTTAATTTTAACTAAGCGTTCCCATAACTGTACCTTGAATATAACTTTAATTTTAAAATGATTTTAACTTTAACTTTAACTTAAACTTAACTTTAAGTTAATTTATACTTTAACATAACATAATATAACATTAACTAAACTCTAACATAACTTTAACTTAACGTTAATTTAACTTTAACTTAACTTTAAATTACCTATACCAGAGCTTTAACTTAAGTTTAACATAACTTTAACTTTAAAATAACTTAAACTTAACTTTAACACAAATTTAACTTTAAAATAACTTAAACTTAACTTTAACTTTAAATTAAATTGAACTTAACGTTAACTTAAACTTAACTTTCAGTTAACTTAAACTTTAACATAATATTAGCAAAACTTTAACTTAAACTTAACCAAATATAACATAAATTTAATTTATTTTTAGCTTAACTTTAACTTACCTATACCATAACTTTAACTTAAGTTTAACATAACTTTAACTATAAAATTACTTTAACTTAACTTTAACACAACTTTAACATAACTTTAACTTACCTTTAACATTAATTAAACTTAACTTTAACTTTAAAATAACTTGAACTTAACTTTAAATTTAAAATAACTTAAACTTAACTTTAACTTTAAAATAACTTTAAGTTAACTTTAACTTTACTTGAACCTAACTTAAGCAAAACTTTAACATAAATTTTACCAAATTTAACATAAATTTAAGTTATTTTTAGCATAACTTTAACTTTAGGATAGCTTTAACTTACCAATAACACAACTTTAACTTAAGTTTAACATAACTTTAACTTGAAAATTACTTTAACTTACCTTTAACATAACTTTAACTTAACTTTAACTTAACTTTAACTTACCTTCAACATAACTGTAACTTAACTTAAACTTTAAAATAACTTAAACTTAACTTTAACTTTAAAATGACCTAAACTTAACTTTAACTTAAAAATAACTTAAACCTTTAACTTTAAAATAACTAAAACTTAACTGTAACCTTACTTGAACATAATTTTAGCAAAACTTTAACTTAAATGTAACCAAATTTAACAAAAATTTAATTTATTTTTTGACATTACTTTAACTTTAAGAAAACTTTAACTTACATATAAGATAACTTTAACTTAAGTTTAACATAACTTTAACTTGAAAATTACTTTAACTTACCTTTAACATAACTTTAACTTAACTTTAACTTAACTTTAACTTAACTTAACTTTAACTAAACTTCAACATAAAATTAATATAATTGTAACTTAATTTTAGCATAACTTTAACCTAACATTTACTTAACTTTAACTTAACTTTAAATTTTAACTTAAATTTAACATTACTTTAACTTAACTTTAACTCTAACATAACTTTAACTAAACTTTAACATAACCTTAACGTAATTTTAACTTAAATTTAACATAACTTTAACCTAACATTAACTGAACCTTAATTTACCTTAACCATAAACATAACTCTAACTTAATTTTAACCTAAATTTAACTTAATTTTACCTTCGCTTTCACATAACTTTACTTTGAACATAACTTTAACTTAACTTTACTTGAACAAACATAACTTAAACTTAACTTTTACTCTAACTTAACTTTTACTCTTACTTAACTTTTACTTTAACTTATCTTTAAGATAACTTTTTCATAACTTTAACATAACGTTAACATAACTTAAATGAACTTTAACTTTAACTAAACTTTAACTAAATTTCAACTCAAGCCGAACTTTTACTTAACTTTAACTTAAATTTAGTTTTTGCATACTTAATTTAATTTAACTTAAAAATAACTTTAACTTTTACTTATTTTTAATAAAACCTTACTTTACCTTAAACATAGACATCGGGATCCGGCATCGGCATGCGTTGCATCAGCGGATTCCTCCAGCGGCTCAATTTTGGGAACTAATTACTTCAAAATTGATCCACTGGAGAGGACTTTAATTTTTTTATTTAAAAGCAATTTACTTACCTTGAGTATGAACTGGAAAGATGTCTGTTCCCTTCGTTGGTCCCGTCGGAAGACCATTCAATCCCGTAGATGGTCACTGGAGACCAATTTCGCAGCCCGGATAATCGGAGCAAGCAGCCGGCTGAAAAAAATTATTTACAAAAATTATCATTGTTTTGGTTTTTATTTCATTTAAAAAGCAATTTACTTACCTTGAGTATGAAGCAGAAAGATGTCTCTTCCTTTCGTTGGTCCTGTCGGAAGACCATTTTGATCCCAAAGATGGCCATCGGAGACCAATTTTGCAGCCCGGATAATCGGAGCAAGCAGCCGGCTGAAAAAAAATATTTACAAAAATTAACATTGTTTTGGTTTTTATTTCATTTAAAAGCAATTTACTTACCTTGAGTATGAAGTAGAAAGATTGCTCTTCCCTTCGGTGGTCCCGTCGGAAGACTATTCGACCCCAAAGATGACCATCGGAGGCCAATTTTGCGGACCAGATAATCCGCCGGCTGAAAAAAAAATGAGGTACAAAAATTAACAACATTGTTTTGATTGTTTTGTTAATTTAAAGCATTTTACTTACCTTGAGTATGAACTGGCAAGATGTATCGTCGGACCATCGGACCAATCCGGAAGATGGCCATCTGAGGCCAATTTTGCGACCCGGATAAAAAAAAACCAGCACCTGCCACGAACGAAATGAAAACATGGCTGACCGCTTAGTCAGCCGACGCAAAAAAAATCGCAAAAAAATGGCTAAGTTTCATCCGCCATTTGGTAGCCCGGCGCATGAAATTACTCTAGCGGGGCGAGTAGCCCTTCGTCCGCATCTCGGAGCGCCATTTGGTAGCCCGGCGGATGAAATTACTCTAGCGGGGCGAGTCGCCCTTCGTCCGCATCCCGGAGCGCCATTTGGTAGCCCGGCGGATGAAATTACTCTAGCGGGGCGAGTCGCCCTTCGTCCGCATCCCGGACAAAGGGCGAACGATCAGTCTTCAAGTCGCTCAATGTCAAATGACGTCACTTTTTCGCCGGCAATTCGTGTGGGTAGCTTCTCAAAGCTTTTATCGGTAATTATCGGTAGGTCGACTTAAGAAGGCTTTCCCGATACTTGAAACTTTTGCGGGGGGGGGGGGGGATGTCTCTGCTCCAGAACAATACACTGTCCTTCAGTTCTTCTGCTTTAAACGTGGCTAAATCATTTTTTCTAATTATAGCGAAATGGCTGTAATGTCGGCCTAAGTGCTCCTAATTTGGGCCCATATATAAATTCAGCAATCGACTACATTTTCAATAGCGACCAAAAATATCCATTAGTACTGTCCCAATGACGCGTTCATTTAGATAAAATTTATAAATAGCAGATTTTTAGCGACGGGCCCAATCTTAGATCCATAGAGCCATTTCCCCTAATCTAAAAATCTGTGATTCTCGGTAGGAAAAGTAAAAAATCGGTAGTTTTGAACCTTTCGTCTGTGAATCGGTAGGCACCCCGAAAATCGGTAGGACTACCGATAAATCGGTAGGTCTGGCCACCCTGCTGGCAAAGTCCCATTTGCGAGTAAAACATAACCCCGACAAAATCGACAGTGAGCATTTAAATTGGCCAATGTCGCATCATTCTCAAACGGAGAAAAACTAGTTTGAAATTATGATAGTTTTTAAAAAATATAAATGCAGTTTAGCAGAGATTTCTTTCGACGATTGGTTTTTAAATGATGCGATTAATGATCATGTAAAATCCATTCAAATAAATGTTACCAACCTAACAATGGAAAAATGTTCATTAGGGCTAATAAAAAAATACCATAACCGAATGATAACCCAAATCATTGAACTATTCCACAAATGGTTTGGATGATACCCCGAACACGTCGTTAAGCAAATTAACCATACCATTTTATTAGGGAATGCATTAGGTATAGGAAAAACGTCACGATAGGACGGGGAGGGGGTAATTTTTTGCTCGATTTAGCGTGACATAATTAATGCATGGGCCCTTAAGAGATCGAGATGTTGGATTATCTAGTCGTCTGATAAACGAGAGCTGGATTAGCGGGGGTTACTGTACTGTATTTTGCAGTTAAAACTGAACTCTTTAAAAATGTGGAATCAATAAAAGTGTGCGTTGACGATATATCAAGTTTTCCACGCCCGGTAATGGCAGCCTGTTTTTATGAATAAATGTATCTTTAAAGGCCCAAGCGGCAACGGCAGTGGAAAAGCCCGATCTGAGTAAGCCAATTTGTCGGATTGAAAACTTGTTGGAACCAAATCGACTTCGGTTAGGCATCTTGATGTCATTAGTGACAACTGTCAAACTTTTGGTTTCCGTTCCGCTTCCGCCCACATTGCGTTTGGGCCTTAACATAAAGAGGAAGAGGAGACATTAGGGGGACTTTTATGAACCAATTTTCTGTAAAACATGAATCTATTTTCTTGTATATGGACAGTCGACTGCGTCGCCCATAATAAAATAGTTTTTGCACGGTCGTTTCCGCGAGGGAAGAAGAACGCGTCGCAGACAAAAAGAAGCCAGTTGTCTCCCCTTTCTCTTAGCTTGAACTGTGCTTTTTGACACTAACTTGGGGATCAGATTTTCACCCCTCCCGTTCCCTCTCCCAGGAACATAGAAAAATGGAACAACATACGCCATCCAGTTATGCAAGCTCCAACTCGGATTAACTTTTAATGCTGTCCCTGTTTGAATTAGCTGCAAAATGTTTGTTTAGAGTCGTGTTGATTGACGTTGACATTAAGGCAGCCGGACATAATTGACCGGGATTTAATCCGAGGATGAAGAGATTCGGTCTTTCTGGAACTCAGAGGAACGACACGGGAACTTAACGAACAGAAACAGTGTTATTCTCGGTTTTATTAAAACAAAAAGAATATACCAGTGCTAACATTTCAAAGGGGCGTAATTGCTTTTGTAAACAATGGCTTTAGCTATCAATTTATCACAAATAAAAGCCCATCCGTCCAAAATTACAATGCTAGCTGGTAAAGGAAACATTCCTCTACCTGCAGGTGTCATTAATTTTCATGAGTAAGCTTTTATTCACGAGAAATCGACGGCTAAAACCATTATTTACAAATGCAATTACGCCCCTTTGAAATGTTGAAACTGATACGTCTACCATTATTTATGGCTTGTTGCTGAGTGATCACAGGCTTCTTCTATTACAACCCCTCTCGATCGTTTAATCCTACACAGCAAAAAAAATGTAATATCGATCAACGTAATTCAAGCTGATGTATGAAATAATGATGTAATAGCAAAAAGCAGATACAATATTACATCAATGGATGTAATTTTGTTCGCAAAATCGATGTACATCATACAATGTGATATTACACAACCGATGGATCGACCTGGTTGCAGCAGTTTCGATGTAATATTCAACAACTTTTTTTGCTGTGTAGACTGCTCGCCATCCAAAGCCTTGGTACAGATGTCTGCCAGTTGATTTTTAGTTCCAATCGGTACACACAAAAAATAATCGTTAATAAAATTAAAAAAAAAATCATTAGTAGAATTAAAAGTTTGCATTGGTTCTTTTTAATAGAAAGCGGCTAGCTTTCAAAACGAAAGTAATCAAACTGTCAATTCAAAAGTTACCCACTCCCTACTTTTAAAAGTTGAAACTTTCAAATCGAGTTGTAGAACTGTCAAATTGAAAGCATGGCAGTATTTAAATTAACAGCGTGTTTCAAACAAACTTTTGACAAGAAAGTTTAATATAGTGTAAATAAAATGTGCCACTTTGATAGGAAAAATAAATGTTGTCAATTTAAAAACAAGCATTTTCAATATAATATTTTTTTTAATTATCTACATTATTTTTAATTTCTTGATAATATTTAATAGTATACACTATATTCTATAAATATGTTATTCATGTTATGTCTACCCGGTTTCCGAAGACGTCGCTGCTGTGGGCTCGAACTTCTCCGATGATTTTTCCACTGCAGCTGTTGGGATGCTTCATCCTGCAACTGGTACCTGTTCCGGGTATTTAGACTGCAAATGAGAAAGATACAAATCAAAATTGGAAACCTTTAGTTATCTCTTGTAAATACTTACATAAATCTATAAGCTACATACAGGTATAGCTCCAATCACCCATAATTGCTAATTGTACCATTCTCAAGACAAACAGGGCTAGTAGATGGTTGTTTTTTTTTTTTTTTTTTTTTTTTTTTTTTTTTTTTTTTTTTTTTTTTTTATTATAGTCACTTTAACGCTCTTGGGTCATTCGTGACTTGTCCGGGGGTGAGATTTGAACTCGTGACTTTGGCGTGAGAGGTATGGATGCTAACCACTACGCCAGGGTCACCCCCTAGATGGTTGTTCAAAACCGTCGTCGTATGACAAATGCAGTTGAAAATTAATTTAATCATGTTTTGTTGTTTTTGACATCATCCACATCCAGAGGACGAGTCACTTTCGAATGTATGGGAATGGTAGGAAACCATTTGGAAATGCATGAAAATTTTCAGTTTTTATTCATTATCGTCTTTATGGGCAGTTTTAGATGCACAAAAATTGCACGAGTACATTACTATGGTGATAAGATAAACACTCGTTTATTTGTTTCCTTCTGTAAAAGCATGTTTAGTCACAAATCGTGGATTTTCTGATATTCTCCATACTGCAAAAATGATTTTCCTACCACTGAAGGGGCGACATCTCTCGGATCTTCAGTATAGCTACTACTCAAATCATATAATTAATTACGGGTTCAACATATATGTATATAAATGTAAAGTACGGAACCCTTTACACGTCGTCGGTACACATCATGCAATACAACAGACTTCTATCTCCTCAGTCGTGTTTCGACTATACTACCCAACAAACATTGAAAGGTGAATAAGAGCTTATTCAGGCAAAATTATGCTTCTTTAGCTAAAAAATAGCTTATTCAGCTTTTAATCAGCTCAAATTGTTTGCTGGGTATAGATAACTTGGGGCAAGACAGTTTTTGATCATGAGTAAAATCGGAGTTAATTTTGAGTAACTCTGAGTAACTCGCGTTGCTCAACATAAAATACACATAGCAACCGATACAGTTAAACAAAGCAAAGCAACAACATTTTAAACGGTGCGCTTGCAATGCTTTACTGGGAAGATCTTTCAGCAATCAAAGGGCAATTGCACGTGTACACAGCAAAAAAAATAATTTTAATATCACATCAAAGTGGATGCACTTCAATCAACAATCAATACGAAACTAACGATTTTAAATTGGCTCACCACTTTAGTAGCCTATTGGTCCCAAGCAAACGATTAACGTATCCCATTCTAGTACTACGTAATGTTTGTTTTGATTCGCTATGAATGTTTGACAGATAAAGTGAGGGGTTATTGGTTTTTCCTCGGGTTTTTCTTATGTTTCGAGGGGTGAATCGATTAGCTTGGGACCGAAGAGAGTACCAGCAACAATCAATACGAAACTAACGATTTTAAATTGGCTCACTACTTGACTAGCCTATTGGTCCCAAGCAAATCAATTAACGTACCCCATTCTAGTCAAAATTCTAGTACTACACAATGTTTGTTTTGATTCGCTATGAAAGTTTGACAGATAAAATGAGGGGTTAGTGGATTTTCCTATGCTTCGAGGGGTGAATCGATAAGCTTGGGACCGAAGATAGTACCAGAACTGAGCCAAAAAGTTGAGCACGTTTCTTCGGGATCTACTAGTCTTAGAGTTACCTCTATGGTACCAGAGCTGAGCCAAAAAGTTGAGCACGTTATTTCGGGACCTACTAG